CTCCTTTCTGGAATCTCCATTTCTAATAAAAATACTTACAAATTATTTGTAAATAATTAGTTCATTAAATTCATTTTAATTGGATTTGCCAGCTAATTTTTTCGATTTTTAAATAGAGTTGGAAATCCAATTTAAAGAGTTTCATATTCTATGGTTTGTTAATTAAGTAAATTTATATACTATATAGTTTAAATGACTTCTCTAGATATCCACTATAGTAGATTGATTTGGTAGCTATTGCTTTCTTGTATTTATTTTTTTTTCATGCTGGCTATCATTTAAGTCCTCTTTATATTAATGAAGTATATCAAATACAGATCACCTATAATCATGACTGCTGTCAACTATATGTATATTTATTTTTAGTCAACCTTAATTGGTCATTTATTGCTATGGTTTCTATTAGAACCATAGCAAATGTTCTTTGGATTTAAGCTTATGTTGCATATAGATTTGATAAAGATATTCATAACAAATTGGTTCTTATATTATGTGTTCCAATGTTATTATTATTTGGAGTCATAATACCTTTTGGTTTGCTCATAAGTCCGGTCTATAATAAAGATAAACTTTAGTATAAAAGAGGTAAGAGTTTATTGGATATCTGTATTATGAATATAAACCATAAACATACTTTTGGGAGATTATTAAGATTATTACCAAAGAATTGGTTATTGTATTCTTAATATTTATGAAGATTCTATCATATTAAAAGGCTTCTTAATATTTTTTAAACTATTATGCTATTGGTCTTTGAATCTTAAATTTATACTTTTTAGAACCTCTAGATTAAATTTATTGGATTATCAATCTTCAATTATTTGTGGGGTTTCAATGATTTTAGGAATCTGCTTAAATATAGATTAACAGCAATAATTTTAAAATATATCAACTGTTTTATTTTTCACTCTTATTATTATCAATTTCTTTATGCTTATTAAAATCTTACTTTATATATTGAATGCATACTCCAAAGAAATAGTAACCAGTTTAGATTAAATTAAATTGAAAATGTTGTCAGTTCTCCAAAAAGATTTAAATTAAATAATAGTATATGCTAAAAAATTTTGAAGACTCAAGCTGAAACAAATTAAAGAGTCAAAGCTAATATTTTGAGATTAAAAACAGCCCTTAAAAAATATTCAAGAAAATCTTTGAAACCAAAAGTTTTGATAATTCATCCGAGTTTCCAAACAGAATATATTAATTTCACTGTACTCTAAAAATATTATTAAACAAAACATAACAATATGAATATTTTTTTAGTTTTCTTTTAATCATATTAAAGAAACTATTTATTATAAATTATATCTATATATTTTTCTAATCATTAAATACATTAAATATCTTAAAACTAATATTACTACATCTTTTATTTGACAATGAATTTGAATTTTCCAAATCTTAATTTAATTCTAATAAGTGTTATTTATATGAAAATTTATAGTATTATTATAATTACATTTTAATTGAGATTCCAAAATATATTCATTATAATATCTACACTACCTAATTTAAAAAAATAGACACAAAAGGTTATACTAGAATTTAATTTAAATTTTAGAGAATCATAAAAATTTTTATTTAACTTTTAATCCGAATTAATTGAAAATGTATATGAAACTTATTCAGGTTCTCATGTACCTTTTCTTCAATCATATTTATTAAATTAAACTTAATAAAAACAAAGAGGACTAAGAATTTAATTTAAGTTAAAATAATATGAAAGATGAAATCAGTTGATATGGATAATTTTTTTAGTTTTTCAATAAATAATTATTTATTTCTCTGTCAATAATTTTAATTTTGATTAATTTCTTAAATCAACTGGCTTGATTTTAAAAACTACATTATAACTATTGTTGTTAAAATTAATATTATTTCTTTGAATTATTTCTTATTGTTTGAATAATCTAATCTCAAATTATAAAATAAAGTTACTCAGTAATAAAAATGTATTATTTTAAATTAGTTAAATAAGAGATTTAAAGATATTATGATTTTAATAATCTAAAATAAAGAATATAGGAATTTGTTTGGTTAAAGATTTTTATCAGTGATTATATGAATAAATATAGAGTAGTTGGAAAATTATTATAAAATTTGTTTTGATAATTAAATGCTATCTTAGATACTTAGAATCATTAAATTCATGATTTTTTAGAACACAACTTAGACCAAGAAAATTTCTATTGATTTCAGGAAATTTATAATCGAAGATTTTATTGATGTTGGCTTTTTTTGACAAAGTAATTGTACTTTATTTTCTTTGAATGCACACTCATAAAATAGAAATAAAAATTAAATAATTCTATCCTAAAATGTGAATGAATTATTACAATTGAGGCAATTTATGAGAAAATATGCTTAGAAATTGTCTTCACAATCCAGGACCTAAATGCATATTAAATTAGATTGCAAATATAAATTGCTAAAAACAATTTAATGAGAAGATGACCGTGTTATTTTTCCTTTTAATAAAATAAATGCCTTTTCAAAAAATCTAATTTCGTGGATTAATTATTTTGCTATTTTTAAATTGTTCTGATATCATCTTAATTCAACAATTTAGTCGTGAAAAATAATTACAAGATTTCAACATTAATGATTATGAGGTTAAGATTGAAACTGATATTAGAATTTTATGTTCAAAAGACAAAAGCTAAAAATTTTTTATTTGATATTTTTCCTTTTTTTAAAGATCCAAAAATGTATATATTTTGGATATTAATTATCTTATTACTAAATGATTCTAAAGTTTAGCGAGAGGTACTTTATAACAAAAAAAATCTATCCCTGAATTTTTATTGAATATTTATAAAGTAATAGAATTTGAAATGGTATATATAAATTAAATTTCTATTACATTTATTGCATTATATTATTTTACAAAATATGAATTCTTGTGTTGGTTCAAAGATCATCTAAAGGGGTGAATTGAAAAATGGTAAGAGAGTAAATAGATGGGATATTTTGTATGAAGAGGAATTGATGTAAGAAATTAAAACTTGAATATTTTATAGTGGTGGTGGATTCTATGATGAAGAAGGAGATAAGAATGGGAAATGGATTGATATTAATGATTTTTTTTCAGAGAATTCATAAGTAATTATAACAGGTGAATATAAAAATGGGAAAAAGATTGGTAGATGGGATATTTTGTATAGGGATAATGTGTATCAATAATTTAAATAGATGTAACCAATATTCTAATAGTGAAATTTTTTAGTGGTGGTGGATCTTATGATGAAGCATGTGATGGTATTAAGATAGGAATATGGAATGAGATTAGTGATTGGTTTTGGGCAAACTCATAAGTAATTATAACAGGTGAATATAAAAATGGAAAAAAGATTGGGAGGTGGGATATTTTTTATAGAATGAATGTGTATCAATAATTTAAATAGATGTAACCAATATTCTAATAGTGAACTTTTTTAGTGGTGGTGGATCTTATGATGAAGCAGGTAATAAGAATGAGAAGTGGATTGATATTAGTGATGGGTTTTTAGTGTTTAAATAAGTGACTTATAATGGGGAATATAAAAATGGGAAAAAAGTTGGAAAATGGGATATTTGGTTTAAAGATTGTAAAGAAAATAATAAAATGTAAAAATATCATTTAATCTTGTAGTGGCGGAGGATCATATGATGATGAAGGGAATGGCATGAAGGTTGGCGAATGGATTGATATAAATGAAGAATTTGATTAAAGGCATCAAATTACTTATAATGGTGAATACAAAAATGGGTAGAAGATAGGCTTATGGAAAATAAGTAAAAGAGAAAATAACATATTGAAATTACAGTATTTAATAATTCTATTTTAATAGCGGTTGTATTAATTATGATCTGAATGGCTAAGAGATTTTTAGAAGCGGAGAGTATTTCTTGTTCTTTTATAACTTAGAAATTCGAAGCTTATTCATATGGGTGAGTTTAATGATGGTAAGAAGGTTGGACCCTGGAAGATTTGGTTCAAAGAGTATAAAACATACAAACATATGTAATAAAGTGAATTAAAGTATAATTAGAGGTGGAGGATCATATGATGAACAAGGTAATGGCACAAAGATTGGAAAATGGATTGACTTAGATGATAAATTTGATAATAAAATATAAATACTATATGTAGGGGAATATGAAAATGGTTAGAAGGTTGGTAGATGGAATAATGTTTGGTATGAGAAATATGAAATGTATTGATTATTTAAAGTACCATTTCTTTTAGCGGTGGAGGATCATATGATGAATAAGGCAATGGCACAAAGGTTGGGAAATGGATTGACTCAGATGATAAATTTGAGTATAAAAAATAAATAACTTATATTGGGTAATATGAGAATGGTTAAAAAGTTGGAAGTTGGGATATTGTTTGGTTTTGTGGATAATCAATGTAATAAATTGTATAAATAGTACAAATCGTTTATAGTGGTGGTGGATCATATGATCAAAATGGTTATGGTATAAAGGTTGGATAATGGATTGATTTAGATGATGGATTCGACTAATCAAAATAAGTTACATATAATGGTGAATATAAAAACGGTAAAAAAGTTGGTAGGTGGAATATAAATTGGAGTAAAGGATAATAAATGTAATAAAGATTATATAAAGTTCAATATGTTTAGTGGTGGTGGATTTTATGATGAAGGAGGTGATGAAATTAAGTAAGGATAGTGGATTGAAATGATTGATGATTTTAAATTTGATTTATAAGTAACTAGTGATGGCGAATACAAAAATGGGTAGAAGATAGGCTTATGGAAAATAAGTAAAAGAGAAAATAACATATTGAAATTACAGTATTTAATAATTCTATTTTAATAGCGGTTGTATTAATTATGATCTGAATGGCTAAGAGATTTTTAGAAGCGGAGAGTATTTCTTGTTCTTAAATATTTTAGATATTAAACTTTTATTCATATGGGTGAATTTAATAATGGCAAAAAGGTTGGACCCTGGAAGATTTGGTTCAAAGAGAATGAAAAATACAACTAGATGTAATAATGTGAATATTCAATGTAATTAGAGGTGGAGGGTCATACGATTAAGAAGGCCAAGAAATAAAGATTGGTAAATGGATTGTTTTGGGAGATCACTTTGAAAAATCGAAATAAGTAACCTTCGTTGGTGAATATCAAAATGGAAAAAAAGTTGGAAGATGGGATATTTGGTTTAAATAATATGGGGAGGATAAAGAAAATAATTAAATGTAATAGTAAAATCAGCAAATTATTATAGTGGTGGTGGGTCATATGATAATGGAGGCAATGGAGTTAAAGTTGGTATGTGGAAAGAATTGGATGATAAGTAAAAAGAAATACCTTATATTGGTGAATATAAAAATGGGAAAAAAGTAGGTAGATGGGATAGCAACCTTCTCAATGAAGTGATGTAAAAATTAAATAATTGTAACATTTCTTAGCGGAGGCGGATCATATGATGAGGATGGAAATAACAATAAAATTGGGTAGTGGACTGAATAGGGTTTTACATTTAATAATCATAATCTAATATTGTATATGGGTGAATATAAGAATAGTTAAAAGGTTGGTAGATGGGATGTTTTTTTAAGAGAATAAAATGAAAAATCATTAAAACATATGTAATAATCTTTTAATAATCTTATTAATATTATTAGTGGTAATGGATCATTTGATAAAGGAGGAAAAGGCATAAACATTGTGAAATGGTATTCTTAGGAGGATGGATTAATAAATAAAAATATAATCTCTATTAATTGTATGTATAAAAATGATTATTTAGAAGAAGTATGGATGAAACTAGAAGTAGAACATTAAAACAATTATTGAAAAAAATGAAAAATATTAACATAAAATAATATAAGAAATTATCCTTCATAATATTATGTTTGTTAGTCTAATCATTTCATGCATCACATTTGTAATAATTTGAAATTGTTTGGTTCTGCTGATACTTAATGCACCAATCACTCAATAAGTTTGTAACTATATTTTAGAAAGTTATTTTACCTACTTTTAGTTTTTCATGAAAATATTTGCCTGGCTTTATGTTCCGATTATTTTTTTATTATAAGTCATTAGATATGCCTATGATAAGGAAATATCTATTCATAAATTAATTGAACTAATCAATTATCATGAATATAAGGCCTTTGTCCTCTTACATGAAGAACACGACCACAAATCTAATAATTAATGTGAAAAATATTGAGTGCAGTTAATTCATATGGTTCCTACCATGATAACCTTAGTTGAATCAAATTGAAAATAATAGAACACTTCCAAAACTATTATTAGAAAAGTCAGGAAAAATATCAAATCTAAATTTGTAACACATGATTTTTAAGCTTTTTAATATCCTAAAATTTATTACATAATTATTCATGATCAATCCTACCATTGCTAAATAAATCTTTGGATTAATATCATTTAAGAAAAATATTATTCTAATTATATCTCAAAAATCTATTTTTTTAATTAGACCTATTATAATGATATTTAATTAGTATTCACTTTTTAAGGGTTTATATTTCTTACTTTTACCATTAATTTCAAAATCACCTTGTATTTTTTTGATTTTCCAAAAAAAATTATTATTTTATTATCCTTGTAAATTGAGAGGAGCCTTCCACATTTTAATTAAATATAAATACTTTAAATTTATAATTTTCATTTTAATTCTTTTATTAATTCTTAATAATATTACAATGACAATAACAACAATTTTATACATTCTCATTAATCTTTTCTTGTTTCATCCTATCCTTGTTCTATTGAAATAAGGTTGGAGAATTTTATATCAATTGATCTACAATTTTTCCTTTTTCTCAATTTTAAATTTTGTATTATCTCCTCTATCATACATTCCTATGAATTAGACCATATCTTTCATTATGGTCATATCTTTAATTAAGTCTTGAATTTATTGATAAGTTAGTTTTTGGGCACTCTTTTTTTCAAAGTGAATTGCCAGAACGTCCAATGGATCAAATAATTTCTTAAACCCTTCTAATTAATAAATAAAAACAATAGAAGCTAATATACTATTTAATTGGCTAATAAGGGCTTTTTAAATTAAGGCTGTATTTAAACCAGAATTAAATTTTTCTACTATTAAATATTCACAGGATGGTAAAGATTATGTCTACTGAACAAATGCTACCCTGAAATGCCTTTAAAGGAATCCTAAATTAGCTTAAGCCTATGATGTAAAGTTAGAAATCTAATTTTAGGGTCATAAAATTAAACTGGTGATAAAGAAATGCAATATACGTTTACATATCAAGTAATTCAACTAGAATCAAAAATCATCCATTAATATTAAGGAACAAAAAGATAATTATTATACACTTATTAAGAATAATTTTTATGCTATTAGTTGTATCTAAGGACAGAGGAGTGCTTAATCA